GCTGGCTTTCTCCCTTTTCCTTCTCTCTCTCTGGTCAAATTAAAATAAATGAATGAAAAGAAAAAAATTAAAAAAAAAAAAAGGTAAGACGTAGGACCAGCAGGTGATGCAATGGTTACGTTGCTGGACTCCCATGTAGTCAAACTTGGTTTGAGTCCTGGACCTGGCAGCTTAAAGCTCACACCAGGTCCTAAGAGGAGAATGGAGAAGGGATTGCGGTGTGGCTATCCCCCCTGTGGGGGCAGATTTCTCACTTTCTGACTCTCTGTCTCTTTCTCTCTCCGACACGCCCTATTGCAAAAATCTCTCTAAAGAAAAAAGAAAGATTTATGTATTTATTATTATTATTATTTTATTTGTTATAGGGCATGTGCACTCACCAGAGACAGAGTAAGGAAAAAATGAGAAAGCAAGCCACCAGGTCCAGGACTTGAACCGTGGTCAGCCATGTGGGAATGTCCAGCGCCTTAGCCACCACGCCACCTGCTGGCCCCTCCCCTCATTTAGTTTTTAAAAGTCACGTTTAGGGTATACAGATACTAAAGACTATTCCCACCCTGCCCTCCACAGAGGCAAACTGTTATTCAGTGCTATGTCTCATTCCTGTGATATTCTGGGCATGTGAAATTATTATTATTATTTTAGATTTTTGCCCTGGGTGCATGTGCTTTCCAGACAGAGAGAGAGAGAGAGAGAGAGAGAGGGAGGGAGAAAAGTGAGAAACCACCTCCAGGGGATGGCCATACCATAATTCCTCCTCCAACATTTTCCTTTTGGGATTTTGGACATACACAGACACCCGGCATGTTTTTTAAGCCGTCTGGTATGGGATTCGAACTGAGGAGTCACCTGTGTGGGATCCAGTGCCTTAACCACCATGCCACCTTGCTGGCTTTGGTGTGAATATATATTTTTTTAATTTCTCAAATCGAAAGTGCTCATTGTGTGCTTGGGACTGTCCTGAGTGTCTTAGAACCTTCCGAAGTATTATCATCACTCTCGTTTTGTAGCTGGAGAAGCTGAGGCCCACAGGTCAAGTGACTTGGCTGAGGTCACGCTTGTGACAGAACCTGGACTTAATGCTAGTGGGCTGGCTCCAGTGCGCCCTCAGTGTTGTTTTTTGGTCAGAGAGTACATGCACTCATCAGAGACAGAGCGGGAGAGAGGGAGAAAGCACCTTTGTCCATTTCTCCACCCTGTCAGGATTTGGGGAGTGCACACACATGCACCTGGTGTGTTTCTCAGGCTGTGGCTGGGACTTGAATGGGGTTCGGCCACATGGGATCCAGCTGCCTTAACCACTAGGCCAGGGTTCTCCAACCGTGGGGAGCCAGTCTGCGCAGCAGGAGGTGAACTGCAGGCAAGCGAATCAAACTTCATCAGTACTTAACAGCCACTCCCTGTCACTTGCATCACTGCCTGGGCTCCGCCCCCTGTCACGGCAGCAGCGGCAGCAGCGCGATGAGATTCTCATAGGAGCACAAACCCCATTGTGCACTGCACTTGTGATCCAGGTTGCATGTTCCTTATGAGGATCCAACACCTGATGATTTGGGGTGGAGCTGAGGCAGTGATGCTAGCACTGGGGAACAGCTGCAAATGGTGATTAACATTAGCAGAGAGGTCTGACTGCACAGAGCCCAGGAGAAGTAAAACCCTGTCAGTGAGTGGCAAGTGACAATTAAGTTGCATCTGGTGGCAGGCTTTCCAGTGGCAAGTGAGTTGATCTACTTCAGTTGTACAGCTGCATCTGGCGTCAGGTTGTGGTGCTGGACTCCACCATGGCCATCCTGGTCTGTGGAAAAATTGTCTTCCATGAAACTGGTTCCTGGTGCCAGAAAGGTTGGGGACTGCTGCACCAGGGCATGGGACAGGGCCAGCGAGAGTATCTTAAAATACTGCCCGCTATTGCCTAATTGGGTAGAAGGGAGAGTTTGAGTGGTGCATGGGGGCCGGTAGAAGCTTCCTGAATTCCCTCGGGCCTCCCCTTCCATTTCTCTCTCCCGGGCTCCTCAAGGGGACTGGGGTCACCAGCTCCGCCCCTGCTCTTCCTTGCAGATGCCTTTGTCCAGTGACTCCACAGGCTTGGCAGATCCCACCCAGCCCTACATTGTAGGTAAGGCCCCCCCGCATTAGGCCACCCAGCCGGCTTCCCCTGGGCCCACAGGTGGGCTCCCTGGCCCTTTGGACAGAGCCCCTCTGCTGGAGCACCAGGACATGTGTGTCTCCCCATCAGGAATCCAGAGTCCCGAGCAGCAGGCCGCCCTGGCCCACCACAACCCAGCCCGGCCCATCTTTGTCGAGGGCCCCTTCTCCCTGTGGCTTCGGGACAAGTGTGTCTATTATCACATCCTCAGAGCTGACCTGCTGCCTCCGGAGGAGAGGGTGAGGGCCCAGAGTGCGCGCTGGGAGTGGGAGGTGGGCTGGAACCTCCCCTTGGGCTCATGGGGGGGCGCAGGGGCTCTGACCCCACCTGCACCCGCCTCCCCCTGGGGTAGGAGGTGGAGGAGATTCCAGAGGAATGGGACCTCTACTACCCCATGCAGCTGGACCTAGAGTATGCAGGGAGCGACTGGGGCAACTGCACATTCGACGTGGATGAAGGTAAACGCCTGGACGCTGCACAGCGGGTGGTGCAGGGAAGGGGTGGGCCCAGGCTAAGACGCAGCCCCCCAACCCACCCAACCCACGGCTCCAGGCCTGAGGCAGCCAGGCTTGTCACCCCTTGGTCATTCCCTCCCCCACATTCTGACACATTTACAGAGCAGGCCTGTGCTGGGGTCAGCGGGGAACAGACAAGTTAGTTACATTTGGGGGAGCTTAGGGATGGAGCATGCTATTCAGCCCTGCCTGGAAGTCCGGAGGGCTTCCTGGCAGAATTTCAAAGAACCAGAAGGCTTGACCCAGCTAAAGCCTGCAGTGGGCAGTTGAGGCAGAGGGTATAGTTTGTGCAAAGGCTTGGGGTGCAAGAAAGTGAAAAGGGGGCCAGCAGGTGGGATAGTGGTTGTGGTGCTGGACTCCCACATGGTTGACCGTGGTTCGAGTCCTGGACCCAGCGGTTTGAAACACACCAGGAGTGTGTGTGTGCCCAAAATCCCAGGAGGAGAATGGAAGAGAAGAGACTGCAGTGTGGTCATCCTCCCTGGGGAGTGATTTCTCACTTTCTGTGTCTCCGGGGAGCACATGCACCCTATAGCACAAATCTCTTAACAACAACAAAAAAAGGTGAAAGGGACCCTGACATACCTCAAAGGGGTGTGAGTGCCGGGAGCTGGGCGGCTCCAGCCCTTGCCCCCACAGCTCAGAGCCCATCTCTGCCAACAGTGGAGGAAGGCCCTGTCTTCGCCATGTGCATGGCTGGCGCCCACGACCAGGTGACACTGGGCAAGTGGATCCAGGGCCTGCAGGAGACCAACCCAGTTCTGGCTCAGATCCCCGTGGTCTTCCGCCTGGCCAGGTCCACGGGGGAGCTCCTAACCTCCTCCCAAGGGCTGGGAGAGCCACCACCGCCGCCCCCATCTGAGGGCCAGGAGGAAGACGACGACCATCTGCAGCGACAGCAGCAGGGGCAGAGCTGAGTCTGAGCCTGGGCCTGAGCCCAGGCGGGGGTCCGAGGAGGCCGTGGACTGCTGTGGGACTGAAATGGCCTTTGAGCATACAGCCAATAAATGTTTTCCTGCTTGGGGCTGCCTTCCGTCCTTTCTGGCAATGTGGCATCGCTCTCCCAGGAGCCCAGATAGAGGGCCCACGGGCTCTTCTGGCTCTCCCTTCCTGGGGCTGACCACAAACTTTCACTCTGTCCTTCCAAGCAGATTAGAAAACTGAACCGAAGAAGGGAGCAGAGGCGAGAAATGAGTCCTGCGCATGCGCCGCTTCCGCTCCCGCTCTCTTTCTGGCGCCGCGGGGCAGTGAGAGTCCATGAGAAATTTCCCGGCGGCGCGGAAGATGCGCGCTACTTCCGGCCGGGCTCCTAACAACGG